AAGAGACAGGAAAGAAGGAGGGAGAGAGACAGGGAAAGGAAAGAAGAAAGAGAGGAAGGGAGAGAAAAAGGAAGAGGAAGAAAAAGAGGAAGAGAGAGAGAGAGGAAGAGAGAAAAAAGGGAGGAAGAGAAAAAGAAGGAAGAAGGAAGCGAGAGAGAGGATTCTGGCGCCCGCGGGCGCCCCTCGGTTCAGCCAGGCGCCTGGCGGGGGCAGCAGCGAGAAGCGAAAGAATCCCGCCGCCCCTCCCAGCGGCTGCGGGAGGGGGGAGGGAATAGGTGGGGGGGGCGGGGGGAAAGGCAGGGCGGGGCCAGCCCCGTGACGTCACAGTGCCGGCCGGCTCCTAGAAAAAGGAGCGCAAGGGCGGCCGCTCTTCATTTCGCCAGCCACGCCGATCCGGTTTAGCTCCGACGTCCGATCTCAGCCCGGGATAAACCGAGTGGTCGGCGCTCTACCCCGACCCCCCCCCCCCGCCCCCCCCTTTGGCATTTTTTCCAGAGATTGAAGCCGTTGTGGGAGGCTCCCTCCGCCCGAGCAGCGGAGTCGAGGACCCCGATTTAGGCTTGGGATTGAAAGGGTCGCCCCCCGCCCTCCGCTCGCTGAGAGCCCCCTCCGATTCTTGCAAGGGGGAGGACAAAAAAAAACAAACCCGAAACCGACCGAGCGCCCCCTCACTTTTTGTGACCCTCCCACCCCCCTCTCGCCCCGCATCCGCAACGAAGGTGGAGTCGGAGCGCGGCGACACCTTGCTCGCCAAGATGCCCATGGAGCTGACGCAGAGCCGGATCCAGAAGATTTGGCTGCCGCCTGACAATCACCCCACGTTGCCGCGCCGACGTGAGTTAAGGGAGGGGGTGGGTGGGTGAGGGGCTCAAGCAAGAGGGGGGGAGGGTCCCGGCCGGATTTGGCTGCAGCGATGGGCGAAAGAGGGAGAGGGAGAGAGAGAGAGAGAGAGAGAGAGGAAGGGAGGAAGGGAGAGAGAGATGGAAAGTGTGTGTGTGAGAGAGATGGGGAGAGAGAGGAAGGGATGGAGAGGGAGGAAAAGAGAGATGAGTGTGTGTGAGAGAGAGAAAAAGAAAGGGGGAGAGAAAGGGAGGGAGATGATAGGGAGGAAGAGAGATGGAGTGTGTGTGAGAGAAAGAAAGAGATGGGGAGAGAAATGAGAGAGGGAGGGAGGAAGAGAGAGATGAGATTGTGTGAGAGAGAAAAAGAAAGGGGGAGAGAGGGAGAGAGATGATAGGGAGGAAGAGAGAGAGATGGAGAGTGTGTGTGACAGAGAGAAAGAAAGAGATGGAGAAAGAGAAATGAGAGAGAGAGGAAGGGATGGGGACAGAAATGAGAGGAAGGGGGGGGAGAGAGGGAGAGTGTGTGTGAGAAAAAGGTGGAGAGAGAGAGAAAATAATAGGGTCCAGGGAGAGAAGGAGTGTGTGTGTGTGTGAGAGAGAGAGAAATGATAGGGAGGTTTTGTGTGTGTGTGTGAGAGAGAGGGGGGGAGGGAGAGATGCCGGCTTTGCCGCCAAGCCAAGCCTGGGGAGGAAGGGGAAGAAGCCAAGCCGGGGGAGGAATTGCCGGGAAGAAACGCCGACCTTGGGGAAAAGGAGCGCAGATCGGGTGGGAGGGAGGCCGGTCTCCTGAGGCCGGATTCCCGGATCCAGGCGGGGAATCCGGGGATCTCGGGGCGCGGCGATGCCCAGCACGAGGGACGGGCGGACGGAGCAGCGACAGCTCCGAGGCCGCTGCAGCGTCTCCAGCGGCCGCTTCCTTAGAGCGAGCGGGCGGGCGGGGGCTTTTGCTTGCAACCCCGAAGCGTGCTTGGGTTTTCCAGTTGCAAAGAGCTCCGTAATCGCCGCCGCCGCGCCGTTGTTTTTGTGAGAGGGAGGCCGGGGCTTTGCAAACTAGCCTGGCCGGATCTGGCTGGTGGAGCGCGCGATCTCTGTCTTCTCTCTCTGTCTCTCTCTCTCTCTGTGTCTCTCCATCCTGGGCGTGAAGGGGATGGATCGCCGGCGAGGGTGGCGATGCCGGGCATGGCACGCAGAGCATGGCGGAGGGAGAGGCGGGTCGTCGTCAGCCCTCTGCCGCACGTGGGGTGTGGGGGGGCGGGCGGTGCAGGAGGGCTGCCCCCGGGCTTCCCCAACCGGCGCCCTCCCTTCCAAGCTCCTCGCGCTGGATCGCTGCTTCTAAGAAAAGGAGAACGGATCTCCGGGTTGAAAATGAGGGGGCCGTTGGCGAGCTCGGAGCTCGGTGGTTGTCTTGCAGGTGTTTCGTGGCCCAACTAGGTACCATCATCAGTGTTAGGAGGGAATAGGGTTGAAGGAAGAAAAGGAGAGGAAGGGAGAAGAAGGAATGAAGGGGAAAGAGGAGGAGGAGGAGGAAGCAAAGGAGAAGGAGAACTTGTGTGGCTCTTGGTACTTTCCTTGCAGGTGTTTCATGGCCCAACCAAGTACCACCATCAGTGTTAGGGTTTAAGGAAAAGAAGGGGAAGGGAAGAAGAGGAAGAGAGGAGAAGGAATGAAAGGGAAAGGGGAGAAGGAGGAAGCAAAGGAGAAGAAGAAGGGTGGGGTCCTTGGTGCTTTCTCAGCTTGGTGCTTTTGTTGGCAGATGCTTTCATGACCCAGCTAGGTAACACCTTTAGTGCCAGAAGGGGTTTGAGGAAATGGGAGAAGGAGGAAGAAGAAAGAAAAGAAGGAGGAGAAGAACTGTGGGGTCTGTGGTGGTCTCTCTCAACTTAGTGGTTTCCTTGCAGATGTTTCATGACCTAACTAGATAACATCACCCGTTGCTAGTGATGAGACTAGTTTGGGTTTATGAAACATCTGCAAGAAAAATCACCAAGTTCAGGGACCACCAAGGGAAGTGCTTCTGGTCGCTGGACACGCAACCGTCATCCCTTTGGATCGATGCTTTCAGATTGAGCGAACTGCTGCAGCTGTGGAAGGGACCACCCACCCAAACTCCAGTCCCGGCCCGTGGTTTCTCTTCCCAAGATCCGGAGATGTCTGTGGGGAAGCTGGGGAAAAAGCATAGTCTGAGGTGACCGAGTTGGCAAGATGCACTAAAGAGATAATCAGAGTTGAAAGGGACCTTGTAGGTCATCTAGTCCAGCCCCCCCACCCAAGCGGGAGACCCTACACCATTTCTGACAAATGGCAGTCCAATCTCTTCTTGAAAGTCTCAACTGATGGTGCTCCCACAACTTCCGAGGGCAACTTCTGTTCCATGGGTTGATTGTTCTCACTGTCAGAAAGTTTCTCCTTATTTCCAGGTTAAATCTCTCCTTGTTCAGTTTCCATTCATTATTCCTTGTCTGGCCTACAGGAGCTTTAGAAAATAGCTTGACCCCAACAGAAGAATTAATTTTGCAAAAAATAGCAGACTGTGCAGAAATGGATATGCTGACACTAGCAGTAGGGAAAAAGAAGAATCTGATTATTACTCAATTTGGCATAGATGGTGCATGTGGCTTGAAAAGAGAAATAAGAACTGATAAAGATGATTGTACAGGAGAATTTTCAAGAAAGTGATACACAGATAGGTAGATAGAGAAAATAGATAAAGATAGATAATAAATAAGAATTATAAAGACAATAATTACTAAGGGTATATACGAATAGATGATGGATCAATACTGAATGTTGATGCAAATGTTGTTGAAAATGTAGTTACGATTTGTACTGGTGGAAAACAATAAAAACTATTTGGAAAAAAAAGAAAATAGCTTGACCCCTTCCTCCTCTCTGTGGCAGCCCCTCAAATATTGGAAGACTATCATGCTATCATGTCTCCCCTAGTCCTTCTCTTTACTAGACTAGCCAAGCCCAGTTCCAGCAACCTTTCATTGTATGTTTTAACCTCCAGTCCTCTAATCATCCTGGTTGCTCTTCTCTGTACTCTTTCTAAAGTCTCAACATTTTTTTTGGTAATGTGGTGACCAAAACTGGATGCAGTACTCTAGGTGTGGTCTTACTAAGGCTTTATAGAGTGGTATTAGTACCTCACGTTGATCTTGATTGTATCCCTCTGTTGATACAATTTAGGATTGCATTAGCTTTTTGGGCTGCTGCTGCACACTGCTGGCTCCTATTTAGCTGGTTGTCCACTAAGACTCCAAGATCCCTCTCACAGTTACTGCTATTGAGCCTGGGTTCACCCAGTCTATATGTGTCCTTTTGGTTTTTCTTGCCCAAGTGTAGGACCTTACTTTTCTCTACATTGAATTTAATTTTGTTAGATACGGCCCAGTGTTCTAGTCTGTCAAGATCCATCTGGATCTTGAGCCTATCTTCTTGGGTGTTAGCTATTCCTGCCAGCTTTGTATCATCTGCAAATTTGGCAAGTTCCCCTTCTATTCCCTCATCTAAGTCGTTAATGAAGATATTGAAGAGTCCTGGGCCTAAGACGGAACCCTGCAAGAGTGGGGCTCTTCCATGGGCAATCATGGGCGAAGGGTGGGTTGACCTGCTGCATTGCCCCTCCCTCTCTTTTGCCCTCCCCCCCTTAACTACAAGCAGTCCTTCCCTTGCGACCCCTCAATTGAAGCTCAAAACTTCTGCTCCTAAGCGAGTTGGGTGTGTGTATGTGTGAAGTGAAGTTTTGCCCCGTTTGAAGACCTTTTGGCCATGGTTGTTAAGCAGATCGCTGCAGTTCTTAATCAATTCACACATTGGTGAAGTGAATCCTCCCGTTTCACGCACCCCCCAAATGGGCTTTGTCTCTGTCTGGGAAGAGTAAATAAATGGCGATCCCAGGAAGATTTTGCCATTTTTGATCACTGATTATGGGGGCATTGCAATGGGCCCAAGTGTCCAAAGGACACTTTTTCCAATACCGTTGGAATACTTCTGGTCACTAAGCCAACAGTTGTAAATCAAGAACCACTTGTTGAGAAAAAGTATAGATTTTAGACTCACAGGTCCTTTTTCCTTCCCCTCTGGGGGGTTGCTTTGTGATTTGGGGGGGCCAACCCTTTTCTGCTGTTGGGGCCCTGCGCCTTTCAAGAACCTCTTGCCTACAGTGAAGGTGAGCCAGGTGAATGAACCTTTGCTGTCAGGTGATAAGGCCCAATTATTTATTTTCTTGGATTCAGCCGTTCGTGAAAGGTACCAGCGGGATAAGATAACATTTGGCTGCGGTCCTGCACTGTCTAGTAGCCCCGATTAAAGGACACGGATGCTCAGCTGACATGGCTTAATTTATCCTACCTTTGCCCAGACTTTTATCTACAGGGAAACTGCTTTCAGTAATAGAATTTACAGTTAATGACCGTAATAAAGATGTATTGAGCCATAAGAAGTCTGGAAGGGAGAGGGAGGGAGGGAGGGAGACAGAGAGAAAAAAGAGAGAAAAAGAGGAAGGAAGATACAGAAAAAGAGAAAGGGGAGAGAAAGAGGGAGGGAGGAAAAGAGAGAGAAAAAGAGGAAGAGAGTATATATTGAAAAAGCACTTTTGGGATTGCCATATACAGTTAGTCCTCAATTTACGACCACAACTGAGACCCAAGTTTCTCTTGCTAAGCAAGTCCCTCTCTTAAGTGAGTTCTGTCCCATTGTTACGACCTTTCTTGCCACCCTTTTTAAGGGAATCACTGCAGTTGTTGAGTTAGTAACCGGGTTAAGTGAAATCTGCCTTTCCCCCTTGACTGCTCATCAGAAGGTCGTAAAAAGAGGATCATGTGACCCTGGGACACAGCAACCGTCATAAATACGAGTCCATTGCCAACCATCCGGATTTTGATCATGTGACCATCACGGGGAAACTGCAACAGTCGTTAAGTGTGGAAAATGGTCACCACTTAAGTCACTTTTTTTCAGTGGTTTTGCAACTTTGAGCAGTCACTAAAC